AACGAATGTGCGCGGCGCTGCGGCGGGAACCACATGTTGAAAAAGGAACCGCCCTCAATCCGTGAAGCTCTTGTAAATTTTTGAACGAATGAGTGTGCGCCGCGCTAAGGCGAGAGTCACATGTTGAACACGGATCGTTTTCAACCCGTATAACCCTTAGAAGTTTTAAGAACGAATGTGTGCGGCGCAAGGGCGAGAGCTACATTTTGAAGACCAGCCGCCTTCAACCCGTGAAACTCTTGCAAACTATTGAAATGAAGGCGCGCCAACCTATGACGAGAGTCACATTTTGAAAACGACCCGCCCTCCATCTGTGAAATCGTTGCAGATTTTGAGCTTCAGAGTCGTACGTTGTGCGGAAGTCTCAGGCGAACTGCTCGGTCCGCCCTACAAACTTGTCCCTGGGTGCGACAGGGAGAAAATATTTATAAGTAAAAGAGTTGAGGCTGAGAAGGAGGAGGAAGATGATACCGAGGATGATGATGTTGATGATGCTGATGCTGATGATGCTGATGATGACGATGATGATGATGATGATGCTGCTGCTGATGATAATGATGATAATGATGATGCTGATGATGATGATGATGCTGATGAAGATGCTGCTGATGATGATTATGATGATTATGATGCTGATGCTGATGATGATGATGCTGATGCTGATGCTGCTGCTGATGATGCTTATGATGATGATGACGATGATGATGATCATGCTGATGATGATGATGATGATGCTGATCATGATGATGATGGTGATGATGCTGATGATGCTGATGATGCTGATGCTGAGTATGATGATGATGATGATGGTGATGATGCTGATGATGATGATGGTGATGATGATGATGCTGATGATGATGACGATGATGATGATGATGCTGATGCTGCTGCTGCTGATGATGATGATGCTGATGATGATGATGATGATGATGGTGGTGATTATGATGATGATGACGATGATGCTGCTGCTGATGATGATGATGATGCTGCTGATGACGATGATGATGTTGCTGATGATGATGATGCGATGATGATGTTGCTGATGATGATGATGCTGATGATGATGATGATGATGATGATGGAGGTGATGCTGATGCTGATGATGATGATTCTGATGATGATGATGATGCTGATGATGATGCTTATGATGATGCTGATGATGATGATGATGATGATGATGATGATGATGAGGATGATGATGATGACGATGAGATGATGATGATGATGAGATGATTGATGATGATGATATGATTTGATGATGATGCTGAGATGCTGATGATGATGATGCTGATGATGATGATGCTGATGATGATGATGCTGAGGATGATGAGATGATGATGATGATGATGATGATGATGATGATGCTGATGATGATGATGATGATGATGATGATGATGATGATGATGTGATGCTGATGATGATTGATGATGATGATGATGATGATGATGATGATGATGATGATGATGATGATGATGATGATGATGATGATGATGATGATGATGATGATGAGTGATGATGATGATGATGCTGATGATGATGATGAGATGATGATGATGATGATGCTGGTGATGATGTAATGATGAGGAGGAGTAGGAGGGGGGAGGGATGGGGAGGAGGAGGAGGAGGAGGAGGAGGAGGAGGAGGAGGAGGAGGAGGAGGAAGAGTAGGAGGAGGAGGAGGAGGAGGAGGAGGAGGAGGAGGAGGAGGAGGGAGGAGGAGGAGGAGGAGGAGGATCAGGAGGAGGAGGAGGAGGCGGAGGAGGAGGAGGAGGAGGAGGAGGAGGAGGAGGAGAGGAGGAGGAGGAGGAGCAGGAGGAGGAGGAGGAGGAGGAGGGAGGAGGAGGATGAGGCGGAGGAGGGGAGGAGGGGAGGAGGAGGAGGCGGAGGAGGGGGAGGAGGAGGAGGAGGAGGAGGAGGAGGAGGAGGAGGAGGAGGAGGAGGAGGAGGAGGAGGGGAGATGAGGAGGAGGAAGAGGAGGAGGAGGAGGAGGACAAGGAGGAGGAGGAGGAGGGAGGAGGAGGAGGGAGGAGGAGGAGGAGGAGGAGGAGGAAGAGAGGGAAGGAGGAGGAGGAGGAGGAGGAGGAGGAGGAGGAGGAGGAGGAGGAGGAGGAGGAGGGTCCGTAGCCACTTTGGCTCAAGCCATTTTGGCTCAAGGGCCTGCTCCTTAACTTCCCAACCCCGGCTCGAGGAGCCAATTGTGCTGTGCGGGGGGACACGGCCTCACCCTTCGGGCGGCGTGCGGGGGCGCGCTATGCCAGCGCATGGTTCTCGTGCTGGGAATTGGTGTTGTGGGGCGTGCGGGTGCAAAGCGAACAAGCACTGGTACACGTGGTGCAAGCACTGCGGGCGCCAGTGGTCAGGAGTCGGGGAGTACCAAGATCACCAGTCTGGGGCCAGGGGAGTGTGGGGTGCACGTCAGTCCGCTCTTCCTGGTGCTGGGGATCCTGTCTCTGCTCCTGGGGCTTGGTCAGCTTCTAACTATCGCTCGTCAGGGATTCCAGGAAGTTCCAAGGGCGAGCTCAATTCTGTCATACAGTTCCTTGAGGCCAATTCGGACTTCGAGGCAGCCAGCAAGTATCGTGAGAAGCTTCGTGCCCTCGAGCAGCCGCCCAAGCTGCAGTGGGGGCCAGCGAAGCAGGAGAAGGAGAGGTGCCAGGCCGCGTTGGATCGTGCAGTCAGTAAAGCCACTAACTTGCAGGAGTCTCTCGAGCAAGCGAAGAAAGACAGTGCCAACGCGCTCGTGGCCCTCGAGAGGGCCAAAGAGCAGTACGCCACAGCAGTCAGGGAGCTCGCCTCGTCGGTCCAGCAGCCCCAGGAGCCCCAGCAGCCCCCTCAGCCTACCAAGCCTGTACTATCCCTGGAATCTCTCATGGACGGGTGTCTTGAGGGCGTTCAGTTGGATGGCGGCGGCCTATTTGGGCTGGAGGAGGCAGGGTGGGAACCATCGGCTGAAGAGGTGGAGGAGGCTAAGAAGAGGAAGGAGCACCTGGCTAAGATATTCAAGGAGGCAGCGCTGCAGGCATTTGGGCCCTTTCGAGAGCAGGCCAAGGAGGCCATCACTCAGCAAAAGGAACTCAAAGCCAGGCTCGCGGCTAAGAAGCGTCGTACGGATGAGGGGTCGACTGCTGGCGGTGGAGACGGCGTTGCTCCTGGGGGCTCTGTTGGGCAGCAGCAGCAGCAGCAGCAGCAGCGCCAGCAGCCAGCTCAGCCAGCCTCAGCAGCCGAATCAGCAGCAGCAGCAGCAGCAGCACCTCAGCCAGCAGCAGCAGGCAACACGTCCCCCGACGCGTGCCCTGGGCCTCCCCCCAAATCCACCGAGGAATTGTTTGCGGCAGCCAAGGCTGCAGCCAGCAATGGGGGGGTCAAGGGACGTAAGGGAGGTGGAGCTGCGACTGCAGGAGGAGGAGGCAGCAGCGGAGGCTTGGCGCCCGCAACAATGCAGGCGGCTCAGAGTACAGGAACGCGAGGGTAGCAGGGTCGGGCGTTCTCGGCCCGATGTGTTCACGGTCCTGACGGCCAACGCCTCAGAGTGGTGCAGCTGTCAGAAGTTCTTCGAGAAGGAGGTGGCAGGCGCTGCCGTTGTTTTGTTGCAGGAAGTAGGAGTGCACCCCTCCGCCAAGGATGAGAAGGAGGGAGGCTAAGGTGAAGAGCTGGTCTTGGTCAGCCATGCTTAGTCCTAGCCGTATCACTGAGGCGGGGGGGTTGTCAGCAGGTGTAGGCATCGCTGTTCCAGCTCATGTCGGGATGTCAGCCGCGCCGTGGGAAGGTGAGCCATTTTCCTCTGCACCGAGAGTCTTGATGGCATGGGTCAACAGTATTATTCCAGGGGGGTTCCTAGCTGTCTCGCTGTATTTGCCTACAGGGGACCCCCTGGGAGATGTCGGTTCGCAGATATTGTTCAGACTGGGGGAAGCGCTTCACTCTTTGCGTCTGCCGTACGTGGTAGGCGGAGACTGGAACTGCCCACCGTCGCAGCTCAGAACGTTCGGCTGGGTTAGCAAGGTGGGAGGACACATTGCAGCATGCGGGTCAGCCACGTGCAGGAAAGGACATGTTTGGAGGGAGCTGGACTACTTCGTGGTCTCGTCAGGTCTTGCCCCTTCGATCGAGAGAGTTGAGCGTGTGCAGGATTCGTGCCTTTCACCTCACTACCCTGTGGCCTTGCGGTTGAGATCACATCTTGTGCGTACAGAGTACCTGGCGATGGCAGGCCCCAGGAGATTCCCAGCCCAGGCTCAGCAGTTGCCTCTGCCTGCCCCGCCTGACTGGGGGCCCATTGAGGAGGTTTTGCTTCACTGGGGAGGAGGTGAATCTTCGTTGAGCGAGCGCTGTGGGCAAGTAGCATTGGATCGAGTGTGCCAGATGATCTTTGATCTCGTGGAGACGGAGCTTATTTCTGTGCATGGGATCCAGGGCCCCGATGAGAGGAAGTATCGTGGTCGAGGAAATGGGTGGAAGTTGCGCAGGGTGCATGAGCTGCAGACATCAGGAGGCCCGTATGCTCTATCTTGTGCCAAGGCTCGCGGTTGGAGGAAGGTCTCGGTTCGCTTTCAGGAATTGGCATACATTGTTCGTCGCGCTGAAGGTGTGTTCCCGCAGCATTGTTTGTCACTGATATCCAAGATCATGGGCAGTCGGCCACCTGACGAAGAGGTGGACTTTCGGAGACGTTGGTGTCCATCTTTCGAAGGCATTCTGGCTCTGACAGACGGGCAGCTGGATGAGTATTCGAGGGAGGCAGCCTACTTCGCATCCTTGCTGGAGCAGGCCTTTGCGAGGGCCAGAGGCACAGCTTGGAGGAGGTGGGTTGCTGAAGCATGTGAGCACGGAGCGGGTAAAGCCCACCGGTTCACGAAATCGCCTGTGGGATGGAAACCTTCCGCGCCTGGACCTGACGGGGCTCCCTTGGGGCTCGGTGAGCAAGTTGAGAGGTTACAGCATGAGTGGAGTGAGATCTGGGGAGCATCGGCGCCCGTCGAGGATGCGGGCGTGGAGACGGCCAGCGGCAAGATCGACCCTCTCAAGTGCCTGTCCATCATGCTGGAGAGGGGGGGCTTTGACCCGCAGGAGGCCGCCAGCATCCCGCCCTTCGACTGCCGCACCATCCGCAGGGTGGCCAGGACTTTCAAGGAGCGGACGGCAGTCGGGGCCGACAGGTTGAGCCCTCGTGACCTGATGTATCTGTCGGACCGCGGCCTCACAGTATTGGGGTTACTTTGGCATTTGATGCTGGACACGGGCAGGCTCCCCTCCCAGGTTTCATTGATCATGATTGCAATGCTCGAGAAGCCCGAGGGCGGATTTCGGCCCATTGGTCTCCTGCCCACCGTGGTGAGAGTGTGGGGACGCGGTGCCAGATCGGTCGATCGGGAGTGGGAGATGAAGAATAAGCGTGATTTCTTTTTTGGTAGCACAGGCATGTCGTGTGAACGTGGAGTCTGGGAGCAGGCCTTCACTGCAGAGCATGCGCGGATTACGCACACATGTGCAGGGACGGGCCTGCTCGATTTGTCCAAGGCGTACGAGAGAGTGATGCATGGACATTTGATCGATGCGGCCCAGATGACGAGTTCCCATTGTTCCCATTGTATATACTCCGATTGCTGCTGCGTGTATACCGTTGTCCTCGTCTCCTCGTGGTAGGCCAGGTAGCATCAGCGCCAGTCATGTCGGAGCAGACGATTGTTGCAGGGTGCACGTTCGCCACTACTCTTCTGAAGGTGTTATTGATTCGCATGTTGGACTGTGTGAAGGAGGAATTTCCTTTCGCGCGTGTGTACAACGTGGTGGACGATATCACGGTACGTGTTCGTGGTAGCAGGAAGTTTGTGCGTGACATGCTGCCAGTTGTCGTCGGCTTCACCTGCAGGAAGCTCGAGGAGTTGGACCTTGTCCTGGCCAGGGCTAAGGGAAAAGTCGTGTCGACCCACCCTGATGTCGTCAAAAGTTCTGAGCGAGCCCTGGCCAGGTGGGGGTTCACTGGAGCCTCGGTGGTGAGGAATCTCGGAGTGGATTTCACTATGGGAAAGACCCGCAGGAATCCCGTGCAGAAGGCCCGAGTGGCCAAGCTCAAGCGTAGGGCCCACAGGTTCCGAGGGTTGAGATCGTCCTTCAAGATGTTGACCAGGATCGTGCGCTCAGGAGCCAATCCAGCAGGACTCTACGGGGCCTCGGTCACAGGGGTGTCGGACATATCCCTCCAGCAGCTGCGCTCGGTGGCGGGCGAGGCGGTGTTCGGGCAGGCCAAGGGCAGGAGTCGCACGATTGGCTTCATGCTGTCGCCGACGCCGCAGGCCGACCCAGCGTATGTTGCTAACTCCGCCCCCCTGATGTCTTGGGCTAGCGCTGTGCATCTGGGCTGGGCTCCACACAATGAGCTGAAGGTCGTGTTCGAGGGCATTCGTCAGACGGTTCATGGTTGGCAGCAAGTCACAGGCCCTGCGGGGGCCACGCTGATGACCTTGAGGCGTCTTGGGTGGCTACCTTGTAGTTGGGACTGGGAAACGGACACTGGGCTCTGTCTGGACCTGCAGGCGTACGGGAGTCGGACGGTGAAAACGATCGTGGATGCTGGCACGAAGGACATGCTCCTTCGCGACCTGACGATCAGTGATGAGGCTGTAGGATGTGGCGCCCCCCTCCGCCCCTGCCTTGAACCGTTGCATGAGGTGAGCCAAGATTTCCGCGCCTCTGGTAAGGGCCTGGAAGCCTCTCTCCTTGCCGCTGTGGCATCGGGAGGCATGGCTGCTCAGGTGGACCTTTTCCTGGACAGGCGCTCTGCATCCGCTGAGTGTCAGGTTTGTGGGCGCCCTTGGGGGTGCAAGAAGCATCGGTGCTATGTTTGCCCTGCTTTCCATGGGCACCGTCAGACCCTTGGGTTGCAGCGTCTCGTCCAAGCGGGGTCCTCGGCCACGGAACCGCGATGGCGCTTGTTTACACTCGAGGGCTGATGGCGTCACCTGTCAGTTACACTCCCAGCCCGATCGTTCAGCAAGAATGGCAGTGGCATGTTTTCCCTAGGCACGGTTTTCTGGAAGGAATAATCTGCGTGGATGGATCTGCCATCGACCCGGGGCTGCCGTGGTGTACACGAGCTGGCTGGGCGGCAGTTTCATTAGATAGGCAAGGAGCCATCCTGGGGAGTCTTTATGGCCCCTCCCACACCCGCTTCAGTCCAACCTCGGCGGAGAGTTGTGGGCTCTCAGGATGGCCCTGAGGCTAGCAGAGGCTGGCCCTTTGGAGATCTGGACGGATTGCAAGGTTTTAGTGGACGTATGGAGCTTTGGCCCGGACCAAGATGTTTCGCGGTTGGCGTTTTCTGAGGTCTGGATTGAGGTCTTGGCCAAAGCTCGAGATATTGGATGGAGCAACATCCAGCTGTGCAAGATCAAGTCTCACCTCTCGTACGGTGAAGCTGTTTCAAGACATGTTCCTTTCTATGCCTGGCGGGGCAATCGAGAAGCCGACCGCCTAGCGCGTGAAGGGACCTCGCTTCAGGCTCAGCCAGAGCCTGCGAGGAGCTGGTACAGGACGGTCGCCCCAGGCATTTTGCAGGTGGGGAGATTTCTCGGGCTGATGTTGGGGGAGGTCTCGAGGCATGGGCTCAAGGATGTGGAGCGCTATCGGGCGCCCAAGTCCAAGAGGCCCGCCAGGGACACCCCACAGCTCCAATTAGTTGCTGACCCCAACGGACACACGATCTGCAGAGAGGGGAAGAGTTTTATTTGCGAGGAGTGCGGGACGAAGGCGAGGTCCAGAGGAGCCCTCGCCGCCTTCCCGTGCCGTGGCATACCTGCCATCGCCGCATCTGCCCACTGCTCCCACGTTCTCTGGATGGGGTCTGGTCCGTCGGGGACTGTGGTGTGGTGTCGGAAATGCGCGGCGTTCGGGGTTGCCCGCAGTCGGTACCTGAAAGACCCGTGTCACGAGCGCCCGCGTAATTCGGCTGCTGAGAAGTCCTTGGCCATGCTGATCGCAGGCAAGGACCCCAGCTCCCGTGCGGTGTTCGGACGGAGCGTCCAGGTGCCCCGAGGGAGGTAAGGCCCTCTCTTGTGGTTTTTGCTAGGATTCTTGCGACTGTGCGG